TTTTAGTCATTTGGAGTTATCCATTACCTGAAACTATGCGAACAAAAACATTCAAAGCCAGCCTACAAGACATTGTTGTGTTAGGGAAGGAATGCAGACACTGAGTCATGGCTGCAAGTTATTCATTATACAGCAGTCAGTTATGATGCTGTTTTTCCCAGCTTTACTCTTTCTTTTGATTTCCCATATGTCACTGACCTGGTGAAGGACCAGGACCTCTTTAAGTCAGCAAATTCAGCACCCTGACCACCCCAACCATGTGAGGCACTGGGGAGACTACCTCAGGGTCACTTTGTGAAACATGTTAATCAACCTGACAATTACCATGTGAGATATGAGAGAAAGAAATGAAAATCTCTGCATGGATTGCAAAATGGCTCAGAAATGTTACAGACAAAACCTGACAGTCAATTATGCAATTTCTTCCAGAGAAGAAGAGAAGTCTTCCAGCATTCATTAATGAAGAGTGAAAGCTTTAGAAATGACTACACTGGTAGCTTTAGCATCTGAAGAACTGGTTCAGAACTAATTCAAGATCAGTTTGCACTCCTGACTAACAAGATTGATGCCTGCACAAAGCGTGCTGAATGCAATTTGGAGGAGGCATCTGAATGCCCTTTTAAATTGCAGATCAGTCACTGTGCTCAGTAACATTCAAGAAGAACAGGAGAGGCCAAGGAAGAACTCAGGCAGGTTAAATTCTGGTGCTACGGCTGAGCCCAGAGAACGTGCTGAGCCACCTGTGTGCTATTGGCAAACCTGCAGGGGGCAGGGAATGCAGCTCTTTTTCTCATGCTCAGGGGGAACACCTTTCTCTGTGCTTTTTATAGACACCATCAAGAGGAAAGAGACTTCAAAGTTGGACACAGCTGTCTCCTGTTATACAGGACAAACCTGGCAAGAAAATTAATTATAAAATTAACAGTGGCTAAGTTGTATATCTCAATTTGGCAAAATTCAAAGTTATGGCTATTCCAATCTTGTTCTGTAGTGCGTCACCTTTCTTGCACACAGGAAAACCACAAATCCCAATTCTGTCTGTTTCATGTTAAGCTGAAGAAAAAAAATGGGACAGCAGATGACCTACAAGCCAAAAACCTGTTAATGATTTCAAGCAAGATTATACAGTGAATAGCCAGCAACAGAGCAAATGTGCTAGGAACAGCTTGTAGAAAGTACGGGTTTTTGCTCCTGTGATGCCATCATTTTCTCTCTCATTTTTGAAAAACTAATCAATATTTATGATTTAAAACCTACAGAAAAGCAAGGTCACTGCAAGCTTTTTATTCTGACTACAACAATTGAGTTCCTAGAACCTGTTGCTCACTCTTCTTGATATCCATGTAACACCATATCACTGGTAAAGCATTTTTACAAGGTCTTCTTCAACTTCAGTTTGCCCACATGAAGTAAAAAACCTATTTTTTTCCTTCATTCTCAACTCACTATGTAAGTTCTCTTATGTTACTGATTTATTCTTACCATTCTTGCTGTGGTATTTTTCTCTTCTCCTCTGCTTCTTCCTCTCAGTTTTATTTGTTATGTTTAAATGTCAAGCAACAACAGTCTGATTTAGCTAGTGCTTCTGAATTTACATATTAATTAATCTTTCAAGACTTGACCTTTGGCTTACATTCTTCATAGCAGATTATTTTATTCATGATCCCAGTACTGTGCTCATTCTACCACTGTAGAGATGAGGATTGGTCAGGGCAGACTGCTCCTATCTTGCATCCCAAACCAGCCCAGGCTCAGATGAAGCACCACGAGCTCCCATCTGGGTAGCCTGTGGCTAAGAATCTTTCAGCTTATGTTTTCTATTAATACTCTGAATAACAGCACAAGCATCACAGAGCCCTCATTTCTATAAGAGCAACAGGTAAATGCTGCCAGAACACAACAGTTCAGCATTTGGAACAGGGGATTTCCAAGTCCAAGCCTGAATGCCTGAGCAGAGAACAGCCAAGCACAAGGGATGCAGAAGCCAGGAAGCAGTCAGAGGGGAAGCAAAGCTTGCTGGAGCAGATTATAAACAGCCAGCTGAGGTATTGGCAGTAGTTTTATCACCCATTGCTACTGAATCTGAGGAATTGATGCAATTATGGCACTGTGGGGATTGAAGAGGGCAGGAAACACCCCCTGGTGCTGCTAAGGATTGCTGCTACAGGTAGCTTTCCTGCCATAGGGGAGAGGGGGGGACAGCAGCATCTGCACTCCTACACTTTAGATGGTTCTGCTAAGCTAAAAGCTTTTCCTTAGGAAAAATTAGGGGAAAAAGCCCTTTGTTTTATTAAGGAAAAGTAATGCCTGTATGACCTTAACAAGACTCCTCTGCAGAGGTAGCCAGGAGGCTCTCTCACAGCACTGCTGTTCCTGGGCACTCTGACAGGGGCTCATTTCAGTAGCAGCTTGTGCTAAAGGAAACCCCGCTATGTTCAAGCTCTACCTCCCAGCTGACAAGCTTGCAGATGGCAGAGTACTGCCTTGTCACAGCCTTCAGGCAGTTGGTGTCAGCAATGGAAACAAGCCCTAAAGGAGAAATCTGTCCTCAGGTTTGCACCTCTGTATTTCTGAGAAAGGAATGAGAGCCACTGTGAGAGAAACGCTGCTCTGTTCCTGCAGGTCTGCTGAACTCCCCGCAGCTACTCTGCTGGGTGCTGGAAGAAAGCACTTAAAAATGCATTAGGGATAATCTGATGCATTAATTTGCAGGATTTCTTAATGTATGAGATACCAGAGAGCAACTCAGACAGGAGTTCTGGATGCTGTTGAGAAACTGACCATGTCACAGAAGTCTGATTTATGAGACATATTCCTATCCTCCTAATCTTTCAAAACAAAATGCAGTGAACAACAGTACAGGCATCTTTTGAGATTCCCCCAAAGCCCTTAGCAGACAGTGTGAATGCTTTAATTAAGGCTTTGACAGAGAAGTAAATCAGGACTACCGTGTCATTTTCCTCCCATGGCATGTTTCTACAAGCTGATGCAGAGTGCTGGGTCGGTGAGATATATCAATATTATAAGGCACACCATGTGTCAGGCCAAACACATTAAAGGCTGATGTTAAATTTTAACGTAGGTCATGAATCACTCAAACTTATTCAGCCATCCAGAATTAATATGAAATGAGAAGTACAAGTAACAAGTTTGGTAAGGTTTCTGTTAATGTTGTTTTGGTTTTATATAGACAAGAGGATGAGGAGTTATGAATAAATGTTCAGATCAGACCAAACTGACTGCTCATGTAGGAATGGTGCAGACATTTAGATCATGGTGAAAAGAAACTGACAGTTGCATTTTTATTGGAGACCTCATTGTAGCTCTATGAGAACTAAAAGTCTGACAATTTGATATAGGAAGAGTCTGTTAAGAACATGAAGTTTGTATTAAAGGACAAATTGAATGTAAAAATGCCATTTAAACAAAGAATAGGTAATGTTCTAATGGCATGCTACTTTACCAAGTCGCTCTCTTTTTGACCACTTACTGACTTCCTTAGCTAGATTTTCTCATGGAGTGTCCAACTGTAAATTCATTTTGATTTAGATCTCAACTACACCACTCAGTCATGAAAACACAAAGCAGAGACACACTCTGCTTGCCTTCACTGACACTAATCAAAGACCATACAAACTGTAATAAGTATTAACAAGGTCTTATATTTCTGTACTTTGGACAATATGTTATCATGATTCATGGTTATTTCTCTCTATTGTCTTTATATCTACTGGTTATATTTCCTTCACAGGTCACCTCTGTCTAGACCAGTGCAATTCCTTACAAAAACAAACTTAATCATTACCAGACATGCAAGCTCAGCTGGACAAATATGTGACGTTCTCTAACATTTCTCATCAGATCGACAGTTTCCCTTTCTATTTCCATAGGATAGAAATATTCTGTTCTTACAAACAAGAAGTTTGATTTCCTCCTTATTGTAGGATATATGTTGAAGAAGCATCTCATGGTAACAGTCCCTCTTCCTCCACATTTTTGCTAAGTCTGTGGTACTTCAAAACTTACATCTAGCACTGAGGACAGCATAGAAGCATTCACAGAGCTCTACAGCTATGCCAGAAGCAAGAACTTTCACGGCATCCTGCACTGCCAAAGCTCTACAGTGAAAGGCCATTGTTTAGAAATGACACAATTGTTAGAGATGGTGGCACAGCAAAAGGAGCACTGAGAGCATCACAACCAGAGACGTAAGTAACAGGTCTATTCATAGAAGTGCTTTTCCCCGGGGAATGGAGGCTTGCGAGTGACTTCATTAACTCTGTCAGCAGACAGACTGCACTGTGCTGGGAGTGAAAGGGAAACAGTCATCAGATGGCCCCAGCCACAGCTGAGGAAAGGCACAGAAGAGATAACTGGCAAGTGTGGTTCTTTCCCCCCATCCAGAAAGAGTTAGTCACATCCCTAAATTTACTGCTCTAATTTCTTTCCTTTTGGCAAAGCAATCTTTTTGTGTACACACTCACTGTTTGCACAAAGGGTGCTTCTGCTGACTAAATGCACTCTTGGAAACTTCCCAGGTTGTGGAAGGTGGGGTGTGAATTCCAGATGGGTTGTTAATTGTAAGGAAACCCTCCAAATATCTAGGCATTTATTACCTTTAATAGCCAAAGACACCCAGCAAACCCTGTAATCCATCATTCAGCGCTGTGCTACATCTGACCTCTTCCATGCTGTAAATCTTCCCTGCCTGCACAGCCAGCAGAACATGTGATTTCTGTATCTCCAGCACATTTCTTCACAGAAGTAGGCTTGTACAGACCAGACAGCATTTATCCTTAGAGCCCCCCCACTCTTTGCTACCTTAAAAGTATTCATCCCTTCCAAGCCTACCCCGAAGGTGCCGAGTATTTACCCGAAGGCTGTTGTCATGTTGTACAGATCACAATAGTGGCTAGCAGCTGGAAGCCAAAACATTTTTTATACACAATCACCTCCTACTTTATCCAAAACCAAAGATACAGAAAACAGTGTCTGCTTACCGCCCATCCCCTGGTACACTTGAGCATTTTTGGGTGCAGAGCAGACCTGTCCAACACTGCAGCAGTTGTGCACAGCAGCTCAGATTCCAGATGGATCACAAGGAGCTTCTCTTTCTGTGCATTGCAGTTTGTTACTCCTTGCAAGCCCCGCAGCTGAGACTTCTTCTGGAGAGCATGCTCTGTCCTATTGCTCCTAACTTTGGTTTTCCCCGTGTGCTCTTCACACTCACTGGGTGCCTGAATTTCACAGATCAATACTTTGGTTACTGTCCATTTTCTAGGATCCACAGAGTGGAAAACATGCTATCTTGTCTAGAAAGTTTGAAGAAAAGTAGCCTAAAATGCCACTGGTCAAAAGACCTATTCTTTCAGAGGAGGCTCTGATAGCCCTTTGCAACCAATGCAGCTATTTATAGGGATGGTGACAGTGTGTCTAACCCCACAGCACAATGAGCATGAGACAGTCCGCACAAGATGTGATGATAGAGGCCATTCATAAAATCAAAACTGGAATTCACATGCTGAATGTCAATAGTGATTTAAGCAGCCACTTTCTTGCCTCACTCCCAAGGGAAGAAATAAAAGTCCCATTGTCCCGTTCACAATCTCTCTGTAATAATGAATCCATTAGCAGAGTGAGCAATGTTGAAGCTATTCTGATTTTTAGAAGGTCTTTTTTTGTTCATGTAATCCTATTTTACTCTCTTCCTGAAAGTCAGTGCTTCTGTCTCCCAAACATTCTCTCTCCAGCCAGCTCACATATGTTTTCTCAAGGTATTTCTTCCCTATAAACCAGGCAGTAGGAGCAGGATCATCCCAGTGTCATCTCATTTCCCTGGGCAGGGACAAAGAGACAGGGGAAGCAGTGTAAGGAAAGGAAAAGCAAACAGAGCAGGCAGGCTAAGGTCAGGATCCAGTCCAGATCCCAGTGGAAGCTCCAGAGCTCCACTACAAACCTCAGCACCAGTTAGAGACCCCTCACCACCAGTGTTGTTGCAATAAATACAACCTACTGCAAAAAATAAAGCTAAACCTGACATCTGCCAGCCCCAAGCACGACTTCAACAGCCATGCCACGTACCTGGGGCACAGCTGTTCTGGATTACACCCAAAGACGGGAAGGAAAGAAGCCCCTTGCTGTAAGCTTTGGGGGCTGCTGGGGTTACTCTAATAGTAGCATGACCTATGCTTGTATTTGCTCTTTGATTAGACATTTCTTTGGGCCTGAGATGGCTTTCTCTTAAGTGCAGCTTATAGTGTGGTGTGAGGGGAGTGGAAGGCCATCTCTACCAGCACCTGCTGAGGTGATTCAAAGGGAAGGGAAAAGGCAAAAGACAGGAAAGCTTCAGGGAACTAGACATAGACCAAAAGCAATATCAAGTAACGTCAAAACAGATTGCTAAGTTGCATTGTAAGAGAAAAGTCCCTTATGACAGGCTGGAAAAAGTGGTGGAGAGCAAATTTTACTAAGAAGGAGTAGGAGCAGTAATACTTGTTGCCACCTGCATTGCTATGATGTGATGGAAAGTACATCAGTAACAGCAGGATGACAAAATCTTTCACTGCAGCAAATGAAAAACAGAGGAAGAAAAAAATCTACTTACCTTTAGAAGGGATCATGTAAATAGGAACCTCCAGCAAAATGCCCTCCTGTCCACTGTCAACCCTTAAATGAGGTCTGGGAAGGGGTGGTTCCTGGCTCCATCCCTTCTGGTCACTCAATGCACTGCGTGCACCTGAGCTTACCTGGGTTGGCCCTGCCTTCCCACCAGGTGCTCAATCACTGCTTCAGACCACGACTTAGCATTTCTGCTACACTACCTGTGAGCTTGCATTAAGGCTTTCTATTGATACATCCCTGGGGAGCTAACTGATGCCTGAAGTTCTACATCAACAGCTGACTTGAAGGCCAGAAGCATCCAAAGACCATGGATGTGGAGGGACACAGCAAGAAAACCCACCGTGCTGTGGTGGGCACTTCCTGCCCACCCCTGCCTGTCAGCAGCCTTCAGTCAGATACCCATCAGTCATGGCTTTGGCAAGGTGTGCCACCAAGCAGCATCTGCCACATGCCAGGCTGCAGTAGGTCATTAGAATCAGATAATTCATTACAACTCATGGAGTTTGTTGCTGTTCATAGCATTTTTATTTACTGAAGTCAGTGTAATCTCATGCTAGGTGCACCCCCTGAAACCCTCCTTTCACTACAACAATCAAGATGCATGGGTTTTTTTGCTTTACTTTTTTCGTGTAATGATTTCAGGAGGAGAGGTATAAAAGCCAAGAAAGCAGGATGCTAGATGCAGGGACAGAATGTATGCCATCTCATTAGTTTCCATACAGGACCCAAGTACAAGCAGCTCAGCTTGACAGTGCCTGTTGTGGTACTTATGATTATTAAAGCAATTTAATACAGAGGTTGCTGCAAACAGTAACACTGAGCCTTGCCATCTCCCAGGGCTGGGCTGAGACAAGGTGAAGAACGCAATGGTCATCAGCAGGATCAAGACAGTGAGTGGCTCTGGGGGTAAACATTAGAGCTGTCTCACCAGCAGCACTTGAAAATGCATTTAAGGTTGTTTTGTTTAGTTTTGTTTTTTAACGATACTAAAAAAAGAATTCACAGGGAAAAGGGACAGGGAAACACTGAGTCCTTCCAGTACAGACAGCTGAATTTTGCCTTTGATTCCTGGAGGAATTTACAGCTAAGAACTAGAACTGAGTTTGTCCTTAGATATGTACATCAGGGAAAAAAATTTTTTCTGCATCCATGCAGATGAGCAATGATGGAAAATAGGAAGGGAAGAAGAATTTTGTTAATACACGTCCTAATGACAAACAATAAGTAAGACCTGAAAATACTTTCACTGTAATAGAAAGCAGGCTCTCCATCCCTGGAAATGCACTGTTTTCCTTCAGAGCAAACATTCATTCATTTTATACGCTGCCCTGAGCCTCACAGCTGCAAGAGCAGTGGTAGCAAAGCAGAGGCTCTCATATGCAACAAACAAATTACATCTGATATTACTTTGGACAAACTCAGTGATACCAAATGCCATCACCACTGGTGGCCGTTCCCTTCACCAATCATAGGACTTTGTCCAGGTGCATCCCTGGAATACCTGCAGCTGGAAGTCCAACAAACCCCCATGAGAACTTCATCAGAGCACAGAGGATAATTTTATATATAAATCTACTATGCAAAATTAGCTTACGGAGTTACCTGAATCTTTTCTGGGACCAATTCTTCTGAGCTGTACATATTTATATGAGATCAAAGTTACGACCAGATATCTCAGGCCTGTCTTCCCAAAGGTATTTAACTAATCTGTGGCTGAGACTTCAGGCAACATTCGTGCTAAATGAAGTCATATACGATTTTAGATATCGATGGGCACTTGATTTGTAGATAGGAAAGGATGCTGGAGGTGATGGTGGTAGCAGCTCGTATGTTATTACTTCTGTTACAGTACTGCCTCAATCAGAAACAGATCTCTGTGGTAGGGATCACGTGAACATAATTAGACACTACTCATTGAAGAGAGACACAGTATATGAGAGAAATTCACAGCAATAAAGGCAAATTTTGGGGTGTATACCCCACACAGAAGTTTCCAGAAATGAGGCATGGTAGTGGGGATGGGCTGAAAGGATGCTAATGCCTGTAAAGGAACAGCAGCACAATATGTGGGCAGAGGAGGAGCGTGTGTGATTGACAGGAGTAAATGGGCTTCAGTTCTGCTCTTTTGTAAAGAGCATCCTTCACTGTCTGCCCCAGGTTGAGTACACTGCAACCAATCAGCAGAGCAGAATCTGGTATTAAATATGTCCAGCATTACTTTATCATAATCCTGAGTGAAATGGAAGGCAGCATTAATAGCCTCAAAGAATGAATGACGAAAATATAGATTATCCAAAATCTATCCAAATGTTCATCATTGTTCAGACATCTATCTGTTGTGCCATGCAGTGAGTGACTATGGGTATCGTGTGGGACTGAGGCTTTGGGAGATGTCACAAACCGTTGCATTTTTCAAATCATGCTTTATGCAGTAAAATATCTGAAAATGCCAAAATGGGATCAGGCTTTACAAATGGACTAGAATATCTTTTATTTTTTAAACACAAATTCAAGAAGGTTGAAGTGATGCATAACTCCAACAACTCTGAGAAACAGCTAATGTGTAACTTCATACGTACTGCTTTCACAACCAAATCAATCTCTGGAACACCTCGCAAATTGAAGGGCACGCCAGGAAACCTTTCATGTGATTTACACAAATCATCAAAAGACATGAACTGATTGATATTTCAGAATGAATTGCATTCTCTTTCTCAGAGTCAGCATCAATATTTCAGCTAGCAACTTACTGGAACCACATTGTCATTATTTATTTATATATATATTTAATTAATCAGTTGCATTGTTCTTTTATTCCTACCTGCAAATTACAGCAATAATGGGAGCAGACGTAGACAACGCGCTATGCAACATTTAGCATTACTTACCATTCAGGACAGACCTTCCAATTCAGAAAGCACAGAATGCATGGCCGCACCCACTGTCAGAACAACCCTCCTAGACATATCATTTATCTCCATCGTGGTAATAAAGAGATTCCTGACATTCTGGCATTGAGAAACCAGAAGTAATACATTAGTTTTAATTTTCCGCTGCTACTTAAACATGAATACATATGATAAAGCACATAGTTTAGAAAACCATGAAGATAGTGTCCTATCCAAATGACAGACTGCCTGGTTGATTTACATGTAATACCAAGTGCTCATATGAGAAAAGGTTAAAATTAGATTGACAAGCAAATGTGCTACCAGACTGCTGGCTGACAAATGGCAAAGTTATGCCAGCGTATTACTTATTCTGGAGGCGCCCAAGCAGCAAGCAGGAGATAGTAATTCTTGTGCTAGAATACATTCACGTTCAGCATAAACAAAGAGACCCCAGGGTCTGCAATGAGAACATATTAACTCTAAGTAATTTCTGTCAACAAATAAGTCACTGGTAAAATCTTATTATTAGATATGGAATCTGAAAGACTCGTGTTTTCTGAAGTCAAGAGCAGGCTGCTCCACTGTCATTCAAATGAGATCAGAGCAATGCCCTACAAGGACCGCACTGTTCTTCAAGAAGCTGGCTATTGTGCTGTTCCCCTTCCTCCCAGCACTCAGACAGTGCCCTCACACATCAGCCGTGGGACTTTTAATGGCGGCTTTTGGGCCGCAGCCTGACTGCATCTTGGTCAGTGTAGGGAGCAGTCTGATTATCACAGGGCCATGGAGTCCTTTGAGTCCTTAGAGGCCACCTAGTC